AGTATCTTTGTGAATCGTTTCCCATATTACATTTCATCTGCTAAACTGACATGGGATCTGTTTTCCTTTCTTGACCTTGACTGATACTAAGATAGATAACACTTTAATATTACAGAAAGACTAAGGGATGTTTACAAAATCACACAGCTAGTTAAAATGAAATGAAACCCCAAGGTTTAAATCCAGGTGTGGTTTATTTCAAAACTCAAGCGCTTCACCGACTATACTGAGGCCAAATAAGAAACCCTGGTGGTGCAGGAACCTTTGGGGCTGCTAACTGAAAGCTCAGCAGTTTGAACGCACCAGCTGCTCTGAAGTCCAGTGGTACAGTCTCAGAAACCCTGGGGCAGTTCTACTTTGTCCTACAGGGTTGAGAGGAGTTGCCATTGACGCGTGGGCAGTGATTTTGCTTTGGCCTTTTGAAGCCAAAAATAAAAATCCAAATGGGTAGTTTGCATTAATTTCTTCTTCGTATTCCTTAGCTCAACCTGCTTGCATTATGGCACCAACTAGCTATTATTATCACTTAATTATCTCCCTCCCAATCGCTTATGAACTCTCTTTTGAGAGCAAGCACATATGTTATTCATTTTTGTGTCCCTTAGCACCTACTACTGTGCTTGGAATGCAGCACAACCTCCGTAAATATTTGTGGAATGAATGAATAATAATCATTACCATTTACAAGTTTTCATTCCATCAACCATGCTAGAGACCTTAATAAATTTCATCATTTAATGTTCCTTGTTAGAGGTAGGCATACTGATTCCAATGCCATAGATAAGGGAAAATAAATTCACAGAGTTTAAATAACTGCCAACTATCCTGAGATGAAACCCAGGCCATCTGGGCACCAAGGTTTGACACTAGATTATATGTAGCTGCCTTCCTATGCCCATCGTGTGAACAAATACACAAGTAAAGGAATTGAGAAAAATTCAAACATTTTTCTAGATTTTTAGTTACTTTTAGAGTTACATTTTATCTTTATGAGAAAAAGGAACTGTTTGGGGTTTGGTACACATAAAGGAAATGATGGAGCTTTTAAATACATATACTGATATTTCTACTTAGGCAACATTAGGAAGAGAAGAATGGGCCAATAATCTGAAGAAATTTAACAGTTCATATCACAAGCATGCTAACAATAGTTTACGTCCATAATTCCATAACATTGACAGTGACATTGATGGAATTAGTAACCAGTTGAATTCAAGTTTCTGCTTTCTTTTGTAATAATAGGTTCTATTACTGAGTTGCCAGGAGGTTGTTCAAAGTCCTAGGGTGGGTGTATCCACGGCCTGATTATGCAGGCATGCAAGATGACAGTCAAAGACGCTGCCCACATAGGATGTTGGTTATCAACCTTTGAACATCTTCTCTACTTTTTGTATTTCCTCATAAGCTATAATAACTCATCAATTGCTGGCCTAACCACTTCTTATGAGGGAGGTTGTTGTTTCTACATACGTAGGCAGTTTCCAGGGCAAGAATATCTGGTTTAAAAACAACTCATACTTGCCCTTTAGTGTGACACATTTGCCCTTATTTTGAAGCGATTGAGCCAAATTACACATGCAGCTTTTAAATCACCCAAAAGACTTCAAGATTTTTTTCACTAATCTAAAAACCTACTGCCATCAAGTTGATATTATTCATAGTGATCCAAATAGGGTTTCCAAGACTATAAATCTTTATGAGAGCAGACAGACTCATTCCCCCGCCCCAGAGAGTCTGGTGGGTTTGAACCTCTGACCTTGTGGTTAGCAGCCCAACCTAACCCACAGCACCTAGATCCATATGCATCTATTTTGATTTACCTACACATTAGACTTACAGCCACATTTAAGAATAGATCGTGTTTGTAACTAGGGTCTACCTGTACTTAATTTGACACATCCTTCTTGGTTTGGTACTTGTTGAATTTATTTCAACAGTTCAAGAGGCTGTTCTCAAAGAGCTAAGAACCATTGGAAGATTGAAAATAAATAAATCCTCATAAGGATTTTTGCCGGCATGACTACATTTTCCCCAAGGATAGGACATTCTTCCACATTTTCTCCATGTATGCTTAAAAAAATATAAATTCTTTACTTCATTAATTCAGTAGTAGACAGTAATGTAAAATGAAATACATGCACTTTTAGGTGATACGTTTAATATTTGTGGATCATAAATTAGGACAGTGTATTTAGTGCCATCAAGTTCATTCTAACTTATGGGGGAAGAATATAAACAAGACTATTTATTTTGTAAAGGTTTTTACTTTCTTGTAGTGGTGACGTGTCAGTGAGGGCTGGTAACTATGGTACGTAACAAAACCAGAGAGCTGTGATCACTAGGCTTTGCAGAAGCCCAACCGCGTGTTTATGGAATAGCAAGCGGAGTCACTTCATGCTTCTATTCGAAAGCCGAGGAAGGAGAGATAGGGGAATCAAACAATTAATTCTCCACATAATAAAATGCCAGTAAGGAGAGTCATTTTCATTAGTGGTGACGATTGATGGGGCTTTGTGGGTGATGCTGTGTAGTCCGGGGGCAGAAGTCACAGTGTAAATACTGTGCTAACAAAAGGGAATTGTTCACTTGCCTGGCACTTGCAGGGCTGTGAGGACATAAAAAAATACAATGCGCAAATTCATCAACTTGGGGCCAAAGTGCTCCACAGTGAGTGCAACATTAACTCTTGGATTCATGAATTTCGTTGAGAGAACAGAATCTATTTTAGTCATCATTTATTTTTCTCTATCAAAAAGGTGGCTGTGAAAGATAAATTTATTTTATTGTATAGGGTTAATTTCTCATGCACTCACTGCCTTCGAGTCTGTTCTGAATCCAAGGGACACTGTAGGGCCAGACAGAACCGCCCCAATGGATTCCAGGGTGTCTTTTACGGGAGTAAAAAGGCTCCTCTTTCTCTCGTGAAGCCACTGATGGATTTGAACTGCTGGCTTCACCAGAGCTCCTGGTTTATATAATCACACTTAATTCCTTCAAAGTGCTTCACTTCAAACACCGCCTCTAACCCAGTCAAGACAGCTTTTGTAAACATTCTCTGAAGACAGTAAAAACTATTTTGGAACAAATCTTGGCGGCAAGATGACAAACCCTACCCTGGGTAGTGATCTAGCATCACACTCTGTCGGAGGAGCTGCAAACAGCTGGCAGCTAGTGGCTTTCTTTGGCCCGAATTTCAGCCTCGACACCTTCCCAGAGAAATGTGCAGCTTTACAAGGCAGGGTTGGACCACTCAAAAAAAAAATGGCGGTAACTTTGTGAGATGATAGGGGATTGTTTGATAGGGTGATCATATTGGGCTCAGATACTGGCAAAGAAGGTTGAAGAAAAAGAGGGCTAAGAAATGGGGTTCTAATGAATAAAGAGTAAGAAATGGGGACAGTTGAGGGATTTCCATAAAACGTATTAGGAATGAGGATCAAAGTTTAGCAATTGCCAATCTCTTGACAAATTACTTACTGCCATCAGTTTTTCAAAATGATGGTTAGTATTTACCATCCATTTTCCAAAATAAGGGCTATGTATTTGCAATAGTTAAGGTAATTTGGAATTGCTATTCATGCCCATGGATGCTGAGCTGACTGAGACTCAGAATTTTCCCACAGGACAGGGTAGAACCCCTCCATAGAGTTTCTGAGATTATACATTTTCATGGAAGCTCAACAGCCTCACCTTTCTCCCTATGAGTAACTGGTGGATTTAAAGCACGGATCTTGAAGTGAGCAACTTGATGCTTTACTTGCTGGACTACAAGGTCTCTTAGGTTGTGCAAATGGTTAATATGCTCAGCTGTTAACCAAAAGGCTATAGGTTCTAATCCACCCACACGTACATCAGAAGACAAGTCTGGCAGTGCATTTCTGATAAATTCACCACTGAAGCCCATTTGAAGCACATTTATACTCTGGCACATGGGGCCACCAAGAGTTGACTTCTGCTCCACAGAACTCGTGTTTTTAAAAGGAATTTGACAATTTACAGAGGGCTGGGTGCTGTTCAGTGCGCGGTTATTTGCGTTGACCTTTGATGACTTTCACCCATGAGCTCAGAAGTGTTTTATCAGTTACATACCAAACCATTTGTGAAAACAATTTGCTTTGCCTGGTTTATTCTAGTAGGTTGTATTTAAAATGTTTTCACCCTTAAAAATGAAAGTGTCTGTTCCTTGGTCTCTGGGTTTAATTATCTTCCACAAATACTATCCATAGGATGTTTTGCTTGTCTTATTCCCTGCTGAAATTGCCAGTGCGTGGCACAAGGACTCACACTTGGTAGTCATGAGGAAAGTATGCACTGGAGAAATATGTTACTGCCATGTGGAAATGCAGGAGCCCTGCTGGAGGTAGGGAGTAATCACTGAACTACTGACAGCAAGGTCATCAGTTCAAACCCACCAGCCACCGAGGGCTGTATGAAAGGACAAATAAAGAAAACTAAGCTCATACATCGCTGTCCATTAGATCTTGCCTTATTGTGCAGAGTCATGGACTCAGCAAATTTGTGGAGGTTAAGTAGTTGGGATTTTAAGAAAACCCAGTGTCACAAGGACCACTTGTCGAATAGATGTTTTAAAAAGCTTTTAATAAAATAGTGCTGAGAGTACTGGTAAGAGAGCATTCCACTAACTCAGAACAGCTCTACTAAAATAAATATTGTCAAAGTAAAAGACTGGTTTGGGTAAAAATATTGTCTTTGTCTCAAAAAACAACACAACAAAAGTCATTGATGGGGGGGCTTCATCACATTTCACAGAGTTATGTCATCTTTTTTTCCCTGCATATAAAACCCTGTGCCGGTTACATACACATATTAAATATACATATATCTGTAAGTATATAAACATATAGATCTCCACGTATATGTTGGCTTTCTCCTAATTCTTACATTTTAACTGGCAGCTCTAGGATTATTGTCCAGATAAGAAAATTATTTGTTATTTTTACTTCGGCTCTTTTCATGATTAAAATTCCATGTCTCCCCAGGTTTCCGTGAATCAGCAGTGTCCCAGAAGCGTTTCCCTTCTTGAGACTCCAGGGAAGTCTTGGAACACAAAGGACTTGGAGAGGGAGCTGCCAGACAGAGTTCCGAGTCTTCATAGGCTTGCTGGAGCACATTGCTAGGACCAAGAGAAATCAAAGTCTGTGTGCCCTTTAAAGCTGCAATTTTCATGTAAGTCCAAGAGCTCACTTTGGTGCTATTTGTTTTGGCAAAAGAAGTGAAAAGCCTGATTTTAACCTCATGGCCATTATTTTGCAAGGAGCCCATAACAATCTATTCTAATATCCTTACTCTCATTAAAGAGTAACTAAAGTTATTTTGACATTAACTTTTCAATAGAGAATTAACATCTAGATCTCCTCTAATGCCATTATTTTCTAGATCTGAATGAAAGCATCCTAAATATTTTTGTAATACAATAAATTATTTTATTCAGATTCAGAACATGCCTCAAAAGAATTATGACATATGATTTTGTCAATTAATAGGCTTTTATTTCACAAAAAGGTAGAACTAAGAAATATCAAGATTTAAAAGGTAAGTGCCTCGGAGCATTCAGAAGAGCAACATGGGAGAAACTGAGAAAAGGATTGAGACCCATAGAATAAGATGTCTTTCCAAGATGAAGGTATGCAATTTACTTTTGTGTGTCGATATATATATCATATATAAATATATTTACCTAATTTAGACAATCCTTATACCATTGCTCACATGTATAAATGGTTTAATATGAATGCCTTACTTCTTGAGCTATTGGTAATTTCTTGCTATGAAAGAAGCAGTTTTGTAACTGTCTATCAGCCTAGGATAATTCACATCAAGCAGTTTCATCAGGAATGGTGGAGAGTTAGAGAGGAGACCGGGACTTAAAAATCTTCAGGCATACATTATTAGTGGCAAGATCGATTTTCATGAATCAAAGGCCAATTCAGCTTTCATCCTTCTATAACTTGGAAGCCAAAGCAGTGTGGGGCACTCGTGTGGAAAATCATCCAATGGACAGAAATGCTTTGTTTACAGTTGTTCCTTCACAGTGACCCAATAAAACAAATGTTTTCTTCAAGCTTTGATAATATAAAAGTCATCATTCTTTATGGGAAAAATGTTCATTTGATTCCTTTTTATTTCTGGAGCTTGGGACTATTTCAGAGACAATGATTTAACTTCAAAGCCATTTTGCACACAGATGCAATTTAAATTTTTAACCAAGAGATCGGGATATTTGTCTTCATTCTATAGCTGGTGTTTGCAAGTGGCTTTTAAACTATGATACTGTCACTTCTTTCCTCACTATCATAAACTCTCTGTGTACATGTAGAGAAAATCTATACATAGATGTGGAAGTGGAAAGTTATGCTATAGATCTAGAAAAGAACTTTGTTCTGAAATATCCAGGTAATTATGAAAAATAGTATCCTTAAAGGATTACTCAGTTTTTCTTTTTTAAAAAAATTTCAAAGGTTAAAAAGCAGGATCTGAGCCCAGGCTTATATCTGAGTTAGCTGCTGACTCGTTTTGTGATGTTAGACAGTTCCTTTTTGTTTTCAACTCTCTCTGTGCCTCAAATTTCTCATCTGAAAAAGCTAGAGAGTCCTAAATTGTAAAAAAAAAGAAAAGAAAAAAAGGTTAATGTGATTGAAATCTTGACTTAATTATTGTAAACCTTCAATAATTATCAGATATTATTTTTAATAGCTCTAGTAGAACAAAGTCAAGATAGGAGTAATTTATAAGCAATGAGTCTTAAATTTAACTGTTTATTACTTTGGAACTTGGCAAGATGCGATATCAGTGTGAAGATTGTGTCAGAAACCAAGGTTATCAGGAAAGAGTGGGAGTTGGGTAGTTGCTTAATAAGCAGGTAAGTTTCCAACTTCACTGAATTTAGAAAGAGACTCATGAAGCAAAATTCTGTAGGAAGCACTAAATGACTGTCCTTGAGAAATTGTCTCCAAACCCTGGGACATTACTGTTAAAAGCATGTAGGAGCAGCTTGATGAATATAGAGATTCTTTTGCCATAGACCTGGGTTGGAATAGCCATTCATTTCTTTCTCTGGGTAAATAGTTCATGCAATCCATCTAAGTGATTTAGGTAAAGAACATGGTGATCATGATCTATCCAATTTCTTCTTTTAAAATGTCAAATCAAATAGATTGGTTTTCCAGATCTGAGATATACTTGAGTGGTAAACCTTGCCTTTACAGACTACGTGAAATTATAGGACTATGTGAAATGATTTATCCCCAATAACATGTTCTGCAAATATTTGCATAGTGTAATGAGATTATCTCCAAAACTTTACGTAATGTAAAAGGATACATAGGTAGGGATATAGCTGTTCTACTTTGGCAGCAACCTAATACTTTTGAATCACAGGAGCCTGAGAGAATTTAAACTCCCCAGGTCTTTTTCCACGTAAATTTATATTCAGATTTCCTCAAACTAAAGGGGACAGAGCCTATTATGTTTAATCCCACTTTAGCTGACAGCTCCTTCAAGAGAATTTTGAATATTTATGCTGTCATTGATTTAATAAACCTGCATTTACGGCCTCTTATTAATCAGACATTGTGCTAGACACCAAAATTACAAAAGACTTTTTTATATACAAGGCTCTTAAATCTAAATTTCTCACAGTATATTGAAAAAGGAAGTAAAAAAAAGAAAGAAAAAGAAAAAGGAAGTTATAGGCCCATAGCAGAAGAGTTAAGAAAAATCTCCAAACTAAACAGACCGGCTGTGCCCAAGGAACGATGGAAGAGCGGAGTCAAGCCCTGGCTAGCAGCTTCTCTGTGTCCCAAGATGTGAAGCGCACACCCCCGCCTGTCCCAGTCCAAGAGTCCAAGTGCATTTCCTTGGAGCAGGGTGAGGCGCCGTCGGTTAGATTACTGGAATTGCAGAAATCCAAGCATCTGGACTTTGTGAACCATGCCAGAAGGCTGGCTGGAGATGACTGGGCCGGGATCGAGAGTGAGGAGGAGGAAGAGAAGAAAGATGACGAAGACATGGACATCGACATTGGCAAGAAACTACCAAAGCGCTACGCCAATCAGTTGATGTCCCCGCAGACCTGGGCCAGGAGTGGATTGCGGTTGTGTGCCCTGTTGGAAAGAGAGCCCTCATCGTGGTCTCTATAGGTTCCACCAGCCCCTACACCAAGAGGGGTGGCTGTGTCAACAGGTTCCCGTCCCTTCTGCCAGGAGGCACCAGGCAGAACTCAGCCACAGACAAAGACTACACCATTCTGGACTGTATTTACAGTGAGGTGAACCAGACCTACTACGTTCTGGACGCGCTGTGCTGGCGGGGACACCCTGTTTATGACTGCCAGACAGATTTCTGGCTTTACTGGATGCATTCCAAGTTACCCGAAGAAGGCGCCCTGGGAGAGAAAACAAAGCTCAATCCTTATAAATTAGGGGCTCAAGAACTTCCCGTGCACCCCCGAGAGCTTGTGCAAGGTGCTGGCCATGGACTTCTCTTTTGAGGTGGACGGGCTCCTCTTCTACCACAAGCAGACCCACTACAGCCCGGGCAGCATTCCTTTGGTGGGCTGGCTGCGTCCCTACATGGTGTCCGATGTCCTCGGCGTAGCTGTGCCCGCTGCCCGCTGACCACCCAGCCAGCATACATGGGGCACCAGCTCCATCATCCAACACACTAGGAGCCAGAAGGACTCGCAGGAGAAACTAGCAGGAGAAACTCGCACGCAAGGCCTCCGCGAATGGACACTATGAACTGGAGCACCTGTCCACCCCCAGAGAGCTGAAGAGCCCTCCCCAGAGCCCTGAGCACCCTGGGAGCCTCATAGACAACTAGAGAGAGCAGTCACCCTTGGGAGTCACAGAACAGTGCCCGTCCCCAGAAGGAAGCTGGGAGGGAGGTCAGTTGTTGACCCAAGCCGGTTACTTCGTTTTAGGGTGACTCTTCTAAAGGCACTCCAGCTGTAAACCACTGACACGCCCCCCCCCATCAGAAATTCTGCTCACATGGTTAGCGGATTGCTTCCCAGCAAGCTGTGCAGATGGTTGAGTAGCTTCACGCACCCCAGATCTCCCTTGTAAATATACACAGTTCTGCAGCACGAAATTTAAAAAAAGAAAAAGAAAAAGGAAGTTATATAAATACAAACACCTAAAGTGTACTGTGCTCAGAGTGATACACGGAGGTAGGTGCATTGTACAAAAGGAAGGAAGTTGTTGGGGGACTAGACAGTCAAGGAAGCCTAGAAGAAATCATGGTTGAACTTAGTCTTGAATATTGAATATATATTTACCAGATACAAAAGTGGAAGAAAGGTACTACAAGCAGAGAAACGCCTGGTAAAAGATATGCAACAACTTAGTTAAATAAAGGAATTGTAAGCCGAATATTTTGTCTAGGGGTATGCAACAGGAGGTGATACAGAAAACTAAACAAAATTAGACCAAGAAGGGCTCTGTTTGTCATTTAAAAAAATCGGGGATTTGGGGATAATAAGTCACTGAAGAGTTTAAATGGAATAATATGATATATAAGCTAGTTCCAAAACATTAATGTTAGTGGTAGTCATTTAAAAAAATCGGGGATTTGGGGATAATGAGAAGTCACTGAAGAGTTTAAATGGAATAATATGATATATAAGCTAGTTCCAAAACATTAATGTTAGTGGTAGGTGTAAGAGAGTTTGGAGGCAAAAAGACTAGAGGAGACTATGAAATTATTGAAGTTGTATAACCAGGTTGTATATAAATTTGAGAAATTTCAACACATAAGTGGTAGTTAAAAGTCATAAGAATAATGATATTTCTAGGGATTGTAGTAGTAAAACAAGACAAAACCTTGAAGGAATTGACCAAAGAAATAGAAGCTAAAGTAGCGATTCTCATCCTGTGGGTCACAACCCCTTTCGGGGTCGAATGACTCTTTCACAGGGGTTGCCTAAGACCATCGGAAAACATACATATTTCCAATGGTTTTAGGGACCAAGGCTCCTCTATCCATCTCCAGGCGGGTCCACCCACCTGCAGACATGCCCACATTACCAGTACCAGCCTACACCATGCTTCAAGACAAGATTTAATTTATTTGTCATTAAAAATAAAAATTTCACAATTCATAATGCCATATTGTTTTTGTGATTAATCACTATGTTTTAATGATGTTCAATTTGTAACAATGAAAATACATCCTGCATATCAGATATTTACATGACGATTCATCACAGTAGCAAAATTACAGTTATGGACTAGCAACAAAAATAACTTTATGGTTGGGGGGGGTCACTACAACATGAGGAACTGTATGAAAGGGTCGAGGCATTAGGAAGGTTGAGAACCGCAGAGCTAATGGATAGCAGAGCTAATGGATAGCAGAGCTAATGGATAGCAGAGCTAATGGATAGCAGAGCTAATGGATAGCAGAGCTAATGTATGCATGACCATCAGAAGGACTGCTGGAAAAGGAGGGATTATTGATGTCAAATGACTCCAAGTGATCAAGGAGATGGAGGACTAAAAAGTGTCCTTAGGACTTGGAAGTTCAGAGGTTGTTCGTGGACTTTTCCTTGGTGAAGTAATGATGACACATGGGGCTACAATCCTCCCCTTGGGAGAAAGATGGGGCTTTTTACTTTCTGTAAGGAGTTACAGTCTCAGAAACAAGGCAGTTCTACCTTGCCCTATAGGGTCACTATGTGTTGAAATTGAATCCATGACAGCGAGTTTGGAATTTTGGAGTTCTATGCCTTTTATGGAGCAGTTTTAGGCCAGACAGAAGTAGACAGAAAGATGAATGGAAGGTGAAAGAGTGTCGACACTATTCTTTGAAATCGTCTGACAGTGACAAGAGCAGGATGTATGGATGAGGGAAGGTATTTTCTCAAAGGATGGAAGTACCTTGAATATATGAAAATATTGATGGGGAGAGAGGTGATAAAAATATAAAGGTGAAAAGAGAGGAAAGGGGCGCATATTGGATGGATTATGAGCTCAGAAATTCAAAGAAATGATTCAAGAGCAATGTTGGGGGCTACTTCCTTCAATAGATCAAGGAATACCTGCCCTCCTAAGATTGGAAGGAAATTACAAGGGTAGCTATAGGGATACAGCTGAAGGTGATGTTGCTGAGATCACTTGCTGATCACGAGTAGCACGTGG